GGTCCAGGGTTTAGGGTTCAGGGTAGCTATCTACCTTCCTACAACTGAGTGTTTTGAGCGGTGCCCCCCCTGCCTTCCGAAACTCTGAAGGTTAGCTGATGCTCCCTGCGTCCGGCTTTTATTAAAATTGGGTTTAGACCAAAGGCCTTGGGGCTTATGAGCTGGCCGAGCCTTTCTGTAGGCTATCGTTTTTCAACTGTTTAAGAACCCTACAAGGTTTATTTTTGGCATTCTTGGAAAATGTTGACCGTGTGTCGCGTAGTCGCTCGAGTGTACACTTGTCTCAGCTGAAAGCTTAACTCTGTCTTTGGTCCCGTGAACGTTTGGTTGTGTCCTTTGCGGAACAGCTTAAGCCCTTCCCCCCTCCAAAAGAAACGAAAACACCAAACCCGTAAAGTCACACTCGCAGCTCGTAGGACCCCTCGAGCTCCAAGGCACGCTGATGGACACTTACGTCGTCGTGGCATTTCCTCTTACTTGGCTGGCCTTCCTGTCAATAGCATCTTGGTCCGGCACGTCTACGTTTGCTGGGGCTTTGGTTGAGTCACGAGTTTTGCAAGTCCTGAGACATTACAAGAACCGTTTGCAGTGGAATTCATGAGTAGTGGTAGCGTGCTGGGTGGTCCTCGTCGTTGTCATCGGCATCGTCGTGTAAGCAGTAGTAACCGCGGAAGTAACAGTGGGAGCAGCAGGAGTAGTACGAGTGCAGCCCGAGGATGAGGATATTTGGGTTGTCTTTTTGGTAGTGAAATTTTGCCACTGCTGATCATGATTACGGTCATGCGCACTGCGCACAGTCGTTCAGTCTTGGCAGCCATGTTAGGAAAGACAGGGATGCTGGTAATCGTGATGATGGTCAGACGGTCATGATTCAAACAGAGAGTGAGTGATGGCAGCTTTTATGCCATGCTGCCGATGATGATTGCCCATAAGTATATTACCGGTGCTGGGTTACACGTAATCATCTTCATGGTAGCCAGGCAAATGCTCTTCGCACGCAGGTCTGCGTTTTTGTTGCGCTGGGTATCGGCTTTGTAGCTTGATGCTGTCTGCCCAGGTCCTGGCGTACCTTGTCTTGCCGAGGTACGTCGAAGACCAAGAGGCCATGGAGACATGCGAGGATTTCAGAGAGTTTGGGGTCCATCGTTTAGGGACCCTTGCAAGGACCCGATCATGTAAGGTAATGCTCGCATTAGGATCCCTCGCTCTCTCATCGGACGGACTATGTAAGGGTTCTCGCTATTGGCAGAATGGGTTACTCGTGAGCTCAATCTAGTCATCTAGTCCGTTCGGTGTTGTCCCATCTCGTCTGTGTTCATGAGGCTGAGGAAGTGCAGCACTGTATCGCCAGTGCTGCCGCCATCGTCGTGGGTCTGGCATGGGATAAGGCCTTCGAATCGCTCACCGCACCCAGTCTCGGCAGGGATGTTTGCGTGCCCGCTGGCCTTCAGGGGTCAGGAAGTCAAGGTTGAACATGGTTAAGGCAAGTTGGCATGCTGCGGCCTCTGATGTGCATGTGCCCAGCCGATCAATTTGTCATGCATGTTGCCCGGTTTCTTCCTTTCGATGACTGTTGTTTTCTTCTATTCTGAATGTGGGGCAGCCCGTCCCAAAGCTCAGTCCAAATTAAAGAACCTAAACTAAGAACTACCGAATCCTAAACTTGAAGACCAAGCTACTCATGACCTTAAGATGGCTCAGCCCTAATGGCTTTAAGTTTCAAATGAAGATTCAAGGTACACATGACCCGGGGCTGGGACGGACACTATGTGATTGCCAAGGTCCGCCTTTTTTGCGGATGCCCCTTAGGGTCTAGGGTCTAAGGGAGGAAGTAGCAGCAACCATGATGGGTCCTTGAGAATATTTTGTCATCTGTTTAGAGTACGTTCTTCGGATATGTTCTTCAGAAGGAATTCAAGCTCAACTGTTCGAAGAGCTTCCACGAACAGCAAGGGCTTGTCTCAACAATCCCCAAGGCCATAGGCTTCGTGTCTTCGACCTACACGCCTGCACCCGCCGTGTTGCTTTGAAGCTATGCAATGTCTGGTCGCATGTACCCTTGCTTCCTTGCACCTTGCACAGCTCAGAACCGTGGGACCTTAGGGCAAGAAGCGCGTTGCTGCCTTGACTCAGGCAGCTTATGGACACAAGATTCAATATCTGATGCAGTGACAGGAAGAAGAATGTGAGTCATGAACTTGTGCCATTGGCTCTTCAGTGACCTTTCAGTCTCGAGGCAGAAACTGTTTCATTAGTTTGTGGGCCCAGGACCTGTTCCGTTCAAAGCCACGGGAACATCAACACTCTATAAGAACCACGCCCATGTTATATTCCCATAGATCTGAGCCCAATAGATGCTAGCTAGCAGCAATGAGGCTCTGTAACTACGTCAAATGGCGACCAAACCAGCTGAAACCAAAAGAAAGCCGAGATTAAAAAAGCTCCCTGAGGTCTGCATGGCAGCATTTGTATCTCTGTCCGTCTTGCCGATCTGGTACTACCACTTGGTGCCGCAGGCGCGCCTCAAGCAAGGAGTCCGACTAGTGGGACTACATGCGGCTTCTTATTAGGATATGAGGAATATTCATGAACGAAGGGGTAGTCTGTGCATCAACATGTTGTGTAGGAGCTTTCTCGGAGCATGGTTTTCTGGCACCTTGACCTAACTGGGCTCTCATACTTGCAAGGCAGTCGTGACTGTGGGTGGGCGGGTGGTGGCGTGCGGGCGGAGTGTTCTGAGGTTTCCAGGTCTATGGCCGAGAGTCGGACAATTGACTGTGTGTGTGTGTGTCTGCGCGCGTTTGCGTGTGGTTCTTGATGCGCGTATGTGTGTGTGTGTGTGCGAACATAGTACATGTTTGTATGCGCGTGTGTTTGTGTGTCTGTGTGTGTGTGTGTGTGGGTGGGTAATCTTTTAAGCCCAAGCATGGAGCCGCCTAATTGACAGGCGTCAAGCTTGTCATGAAAAACGAACTCCTAAGCACAGGACATGGGAGCATTGAGCAAATCTTGCTTAGAATCGTCCCGCTGGCCAATGCCATTGACTTTCCGCGGCAAGACTGTCCAACCAAGATGCTTGTGAGCCTGAGGCCCCGGTTTTGGAACAACTCCTACCCAGTTGAGTTCTAGGTGGAGTGTGCAGATATATTTCGAGACATCCGCGCAATCGAAATGGCGTCCTCCTTGCTGCTTGTCGACGTTGCGCCTGCTAGAATCGTAGCAGCCGTAATTGCAGTCATTACATGTCATCAGCCATGCTAGCAGCAAACCTCCTAGCAGCAGCAGCAGCAGCAGCAGCGGCACCGGCACCGGCACCGGCACCGGCACCGGCACCGGCACCGGCACCGGCACCGGCACCGGCACCGGCACCGGCACCGGCACCGGCACCGGCACCGGCACCGGCACCACCATGATGATGATGATGATGATGATGATGATGATCATCATCATCATCATGATCTTCATCATCAGCATCATCATCAGCATCATCAGCATCATCATCAGCATCATCATCACCATCACCATCATCATCATCATCATTATTTAATCATAAGCATCACCATCACCATCACCGCCACCATCGCCATCAACACCATCATCACCACTATCACCACCACCATCGCCATGGTCATCAGCATCAGCACCATCATCAGCACCATCATCATCATCATCATCACCATCACCATCGTCCTCCTCCTCCTCCACCTCCTCATCATCATCATCGTCATCCTCATCACCATCATCATCCCCATCCCCGTCCTCCTCATCCGGATTATTCTCGAAAGATCTGCACTCCGACCCTGGCCCGTCAGAGGCCATGCGCTGCCATCATGTCGACGGTGACGTTGAGAAACCCCACGCCGACAACTCCAAGTTCTGAACAAGTGTCACAGGGGAAGGTTGAACACCTGTGCCAGCTCGTATCAGAGCATGCTGCAGTCCATACCGATTTGTGGGTTCCAGGTCCCCCTTGCAGCCAGGTGTAAGGAAGGTCGGATGCAGAGTCTCCCCTTCTCCCTGCTGACAGGAAGCATGAACTCATGACGGAATTCGCACCTACGGCTAATGGACAAAAGGCTGCCGGATGCTTGAAATACGTACTGCTCCCCTCACTCGCTGTTCTCTGCAGTTTTGTGCAGTGTGTTCTGAAGAGTTTGTTCTGCTCAACTTCGCGTCGGCTTTCGTTTAGACTCTGGACTGTTTTGAGCTCTGGGGTCAGGGGTGCCCGAGAAGCTGCAAAAGGGCCGCGCGCCTTAGCCAGATTCGTCGCAGAAGACGACAGCGACTGTCAAGTGTCGCTGCGCCCCAAATGGCTGGTTGTGCTGGTCGGCACACGAATGCGTCGCGACCACCATAGTCTTCAAGCATGAACGAACAAGTCAACGCCAATCTTGCCAAGCTTTAGCCTCTACTTGGTGTTTTGAGACCAAAACTTGACATTGAAGGTCCTCGCGCAAGACCCTGCCAAGCCTGACCACGAAATCACACGAAATCCCTAACCCTTAAGGCTATCCCCCTAAGCCTGAAACGTACAGCCACTGCTGAACCCCTAAGTCTCACGCACAGCCAACCCCTGAGTCTGACTCAGCTTCCAACCATGAACGACAGAAACATAAAGTAAGTCAACTCCCAAAGACCGCGACGCAACAAGCCCAATATAGGGGCCTCAGTAATTGCCGATACTATTTTGGGGGGTTCCTTACAATAAGTATAGTATAACCCAAAGCCCTATTCTGAATGCTAAGGCCCATACAGTCCATACATTAAGCCTCCACCAGCACCAAAGGATGTCAGCAGCTCACGAAGCGCCATACCTGGAACCGGCAACCCTCGACCCTAAAGTATCTGGGAGTTTCCGAAAATAAGGGGTACCTTATTTTGGGGGTCCTTATATTAAGGATCCTACTATTTAGGGTACTATCTTAGGGTCCCCCTATTTTCGGAAACCCCCAAGTATCTCTTCGTTGTTATAGTACCTTTAGAGCGAGGTTCGAGTCAGAAGTCCTCGACCCTAGGCAGCAGCCCTGCCTTGCTACGGGCTCGCAAACTCGCCCGGGAGTACCTTCTGCCCGAAGCCTCAGAGCATCGCGAAGTTGACGGGCATCCAACCCTAAACCCTAAACCCTAAACCCTAAACCCTAAACCCTAAACCCTAAAGCCTTTTTGGGGGCGTTGGGGCGTTTGGGGATTTTTGGGGTTCAAGGTTTCGGGATTTGGGGCCTTTGAGGCTCAGGCCTTTGGGGTTTGGGTTTGAGGGATTTGGGGTTTAGGGTTTAGGGTTTAGGGTTTGGCTTTTTGCAGGCTGTCTTTTTTCAGTGCTGGAGTGGTTTCCTTGCCTACTCACCTATCAAACCCTTCTGTTCGGAAAGTTCCACAATCTTGGACACATGGAGCTTGTGTAGCGCAGCAGGAACCATATGCAGAGGATTCGCGATTTCAGGTTTTGGCGGAACGCTCACCTTCACCATGCCTTTGGTGGGTCATTGAACCTCGTGAGTTCAACTCGAATAACCCTAAACCCTAAACCCGAAACCCTAAACCCTAAACCCCAAACCCTAAACCGAAATCTGGAAGCTCCTTTCAGGAGGAGGCTGCAGGTTTCGACGTCCTGCTTTGTTGTTTGACAGCGGGAGCATCGGAAGAAGAGCGAAGGTCTGGTAGTCCCCAAAGCGAGGCCCCAGGCAGACCTCAGTCTTTAAACCACCCGACAAATTTAACAATTAGAATGAGGTTTTGGGGTATGTTATACTCTAACTCTAGTTAATAAGGGGTTTTGGGGTATATTATACTATAGTTCTAATTAACAAGGAACCCCCCAAAATAGAAAAGGTCATTATTAAGGCTCTACGCTTGAGGTGTGGTCGCGTCGATCAATCTTCTTTTCTACTCCGACCTCTTCAGCGAATAGTGGCGAAAAAAAGCCCGCACCCGTGGGCCTTTGCAGTTTGTGCGAAAGGCCACGAGCAGAAGCCCTGCAAACCAGGACCCTACGCTGCAGCCGCAGCCCGGAACCTCCAAAGGTTCTAACTCCCAGGCCGACAGGATCATGTCCTAGTACCCCAAAAGGCCCAACAGTCATATATCACGAGAGAGCTCAAACATCAAATCCGAAGCCCGAAATCCCTCTTGAGCCAGAAACTGCCCTGTTTTCACAAACCCGACATCCAAGAGACACCGAGACAGAGGATTCTTGATGGCTTTAAGGATTATATGGGTGGTTGTCAAAATTATGGTCCCTTTTTGGGTCCTTATTATAATACGGCACCTATTATTTAGGGTACCCCAAAAGGGACCATAATTTTGACAACTACCCATATATTGTTTGCGGTAACGTCTCCAGTAAAACGTCTCGACCATTCGATGTTATTGCGGCTTGCGATGCCTAAAGCATACGGCTCTGCTCAACCGTATCGACCTGTAGACCTTCCATCCGTGCGGCTGTGACGCAGCAATTATGGCTTGGTAGGAGCCTTGAACCTTTTGGAGTCCTTTCTCGGGGTTTGCGTTGCAGCCATGGGCAGCCACTACATGCCAGCAGAGATGCCGGCTGCTGCCATGGGTTGCCTGGCGCCGTTTGTGTTTTTCTTGTTCAGGTGTTTAATGCCTTTGGCTTCGGGGCACTGTTGGGCTGTGTTGCCCTTGGCCTTTGATGCATGTCATGCTGTGATGGTTTATGCCACGTCATGTTGACATCTTAGCACACAGTACATGTAAGCAGGTACTTCGTGGCCATGCATGCTGCAGGCTAGATAATGGCGGGTCCCAAGACTTGCTTCATGGCCAAGCTGGGCCAAGCCGAACCCTGATCCCAATGTTGCCACTGTACACCCCCAAATCATCCTAAACGCTCAAAACCCCACTTGGGTTTCTTGAGCCGGGATCCTGAGCAATCCCATGACACGATTCAAAGGCCGCGGGCTCCGCAGAGGCCTCGAAAAGGAACTGAGCCCGCGACCTGGCTGAGTCTGGCTCAGGTTTGAGGGTTTCTTTAGGTTTTAGGTTGCCGGTTTCATCGTCAACGTGGTCGTGGTGATGATTCGTCGAAGCTTCAATAGCACTGGACCTGCCCATGCATGCCAAAGCTACTTGAACCTGGCGCCCGAAGCACTGCACCAGCTGCGGATCTCCGCAGTGGTCAGCCGAACCTTAGAGTCACGCGTGCCGTGTTGGATATTTGAGGTATAAAGTTCAGCGAGTTGCCTCTGTGACACGCGGTAACTACTGCAATAGATCCTTCTAGTTTGTCTTTCTGGTCTGCTGATGCCTAGATTCCTAGTAGCACCTGCACTGCAACATGTGTTGAATAATACGTAGCCTTCCCATCATCGCCTCGTTCTGCCGCCGTCGGTCACAATCTTACCCTCCTCCTCCTCCTCCTCATTATCATCTTGTCATCATCCTCATAGTCATAACCGCCACCACCACCAGCACCCCCGCCAACATCAGCAGCAGCACCACCACCGCCACCGCAATCCCCACGGCAGCCACTGCCGCCATTGATGTCGCCATCGCCGCCGTCGTGGTTAGCGTCTGCACCGTCATTGTCCGCATCATCATCCTGCGTTGTTTCATTTAACCGTCGTGGTGCGTCATCAGCGACGTAGCCGTCATCAGTATTATCCCAAGCAGTGTTCTTGTTCTTGTTCTGGTTGCTGCTGTTACGTAGCCTGATTAGCATAAGCTTTGGTCCCAAGGTTCGGTTACTTTTCGTAGCTTGTGAGGATTAGCACCAGAGCTGCGACGGAGGACTGCCCGCCATGCAGCTGTTCAGACTCGAGGGTCGTTAGGGCTCAAAGGTTTGGGGTTCAGGGAGTTTTGGTTGTCGATCCTAGCACCGACCGGTCTCTGCCAATCTACGGCTTGTTCTAGTTGCATGAGTTTTCAATTCGGAGACCGCTTACCCCAAAACCCCAGAGGCAACTAGCCTTGCGTGTTTGTATGGGTTCGGTTTTCGGGTTGAAGGTGCAGGGTTCAAGCTCTTGGCTTCGGTTTAGGGGGGTCAGGGATCCAAAGCTTTTTGTGTCAGGAGGCGCCAAGCGAGCCCTCGATGGACAGCCCCAGTTCTGCCGGAGAAGGGAAGCTCGGCCGTAGAGTTGGCAGGTGATTTGCAAAGCATTACGGGTTTACGGTCTGGTTTTGGGTTTCTTGGGTTGTTGGGGATGAAGGGTTCGTAGTTTGGACCTGTGGGGGATTGGCTCTCAAGGTTTAGTAGTCGTGCTGAGTTCTCCTTGGTGTTGCCTGGAAGCTGCCAACATTTCACATCAACTCTCCCTTGTTCGCTTGAAATATGGAAGCTTCAGCACTATTGTTCCCGTATAGGCTAAACCCTAAACCCTAAACCCTAAACCCTAAACCCTAAACCCTTAACCCTAAACCCCTCTACATGATTAACGAATACTACACCCCAAAGCCCTGCTCGGCCTCTGTTTTCCCCTTGCCACCTCTTCACGGTCTCATGCGCTCCTACGTTGGAGTGCATGTTGCCCGTCGTGACATCGGACAACGGTCGGTTTACAGATTTTGAGTTCGACAGCCGAGGCCGGCAGAAGAAATGGCCGGGCAGCACCCGGTTGCTCTGTCGAGAGAGAGGCAGGTCGGGCCAGAACGGGGCTGCCCAGGAGTTTTCAAGGAGTGCGATGCATGCTATGGGTTCATGAGTTTGCGTTAAATCGAAAAGGATCACAAGGGATGCTGAATCAGCGTAGCAATAATCACTGTGCGGTTTCTGTGCGATGTCTGAAAGCAGAAGTATATATTGATGTCTTGCACCTTATCTATGGCGATCCCTTCGCTTGCTCCGATGAATAGCTGTTCGCTTTGAAACAGTGACCACGACGATGTCAACTACGAACGTTGTGGTTGTGTCCCTGACGGACATCATTGCTGCTGCGGCTACTTGTGCTGTTGCTGCTGCCACTTCTACTTAGCTATGCTTACCGTCAGGGGTACCATCTTTTGACGTGTATGAAGGCTGGGATAATGATTATTGTGGTGTCATTCTTGCTATAGCTTCTGCTGCCAGTACCCCTGCCGCTAGCACTACGACGATGCCGCCGACGACAACGACGGCAACGGTGACTCGTGCTGCTGCTGCTGCTGCTTCTGCTGCTGGTGGTGCTGCAGCGATGTGGGTAGTTGTCTGAATTAGGGTCCCTTTTATAAGGGTGCCGTACTATATTGGGGACCTAAAAATGGACCCTCATTGAGAGAACTACCCATGTCTTTAATGATGTTCTCCCTCCCCTTGCTGTTACCATTGACCGTTCCATCTGCTGTGCTGCCAGGGCCCTGGCGCTACAGATGGAGCTCATGGCAGCCTACAGCTCACCAATTTTCCAGAATCTGGTCTCGTTTTTCTAGGGCCTTGTAAAGGAGTTTCTGAGTGCGAAGCCGTTCAGGAGGCTTTGATCTTTCAGTACCTATTCATGGGGCCGCCGTGTGTGCGAGACAGTCCTACATTGCATCGACACTCTCTTCGTAGCAAGACGCAGCCTCCAACTGATCCAAGCCCTGTGTTCTAAGATATGAAGCGCTTGTCTAGAGGTTCTCAAGCTCACGATGTTTGGGGCTTATCGTGATTTCTGTCATGAGTTGCCGAGTTGGACCTTGAAGGTTTGCTGGATCTGTCATTCACGCACACAGTTGATGGAACGTGCAGTTATAGGGTTGGGGGGGAGCGTTATTCGCTTCTTCGAGCCTCTTCGAGTGGGTGTTGTCGGTCGGAGACTCCTGTACTGCACCCTGAATCCAGCGACCTTTGCGCAGAGGGATCGCCCACAATCCAAGCCTTGAAGAAGAGGGTTCAGGAACGTAGGTGCCGCTGTAGTCAGCGAGCTCGGACTTGTCGAAGTGCTGGTGGAAGCATGCCACCCAACGCAGGGACCCCGTGCTGAGAGTTCCAGAAGAGAGGGCACCTTCATCCAGACCCAAACTACTCGCCCTCCCCCTGCCACCGAGTCAAAAGTACAAGAACCCTCCAGTTTAAACAACTTAAGGGACCCGAAATACTCGGATATCAGCGACACCCCCCTTCAACAACAAAGCGATGGATACCTTGCCTGTTCAGAGCCCAAGAAAAGCTGGGAGCTTCCGAGGAAGCGTCTCCACGAGCTAGGACGGGAGCATCCGCAACTTGCCCCAAAGAGCACAGGCAGTTTGGTGTGTGTGTGTGTGTGTGTGTGTGCGGCTCTGTGTGTGTGTGTCTTGGTGGGAGTAGGAGTAGGGTTTAAGGCTTTGGAATTTAAGGTTAGATCTGGGGCTGTGAGACTACGGCTTTGGATTTTGGCTCGGGGTTTTGAGTTTCGGTACTGGGGAACAGGCAGGCAGGAACCAACTTTCCGCACGGGATGGATGTCTCGAATTACAGTCTAGGCAGCGCCCGACTTGTACTTCATTTGTACCGTCCTCCCATTCAAGCCGAATCCATTTTTGCCGCACCACCTTTTCGGTGGAAAGAGCCGACGGAGACTGAGACAGTACATCCGAAGATGCAATTTTCTCAGATAGTCATGCATGGGTGGTGGAAAGTGCTCTAGGCCTTAGACCTTCGCGAACTCAGAGGCCCGGCACGAAGAGCTTTAACCATGGACGCCACAAATTGCTACTTGGCTCTTTGGTTTTCTTGTGGTACCTGCAGCCTCATCAAGGAACATTTGATATTGATCCGGGTGGTTCCGGCAGGAAACTGAGGTCCTGGGATGGTGTTCTTTAGGGTTTGAGGTTTTGAGACTTGCCGTCTGCTATGGCGTTTCAGCATTTGTTGTAGGGTTTATGGCTTCGAGTATCCGCTGCTCTTGGACCGACATCACGCTGTTCACAGGATGGACAGACGGACGGAGGCAAGTCCTCGAAACGGTGACGGGGATTTCACAGAATTCCTCTGAGAGGACTCTGTGCTCCGAGTGTGCCGGGTTGGTGATATCGGTTTAGGGTTTAGGGTTTAGGGTTTAGGGTTTAGGGTTCAGAGGACTCTGTGCTCCGAGTGGGTGGCCACAGGTCGCTGAAGTCTCCAGTTCTGCCAGCTGTAGGAGATCAAACCTTCAACTGAGTCACCTGGGGGTTTCTGAGAATAGGGGACCCTAATATAGTACCCTAAATAATAGGATCCTTAATATAAGGACCCCAAAATAAGGTACCCCTAATTTTCGGAAACTCCCACCTGGCTTTAGGTTCTCCGGGCACTGTCTGACTGTCGCATGGTGCATGCAGGGCAGCTTCCTAAAGAAGTTGTAGGCTGAGCGCAAGACAAGACTCCTGCAGCTACGCCAAGGATACGTCAGCTTCAGGCGTCCATCATCCCACTCTACGGCCCCTCGTCCTTGAACATCTGTCGGCCAAAATCTCAATTCAGGAATATGCCGCAACCTGTGACAAGGGCTCCATGTTGGCATGCTTGCCTTAGCCGGGGGGCATTCGGATGTTGTGGGGGCCTGCGTAACTTAATCAGACCAGCGCTCCGGGCTTCGGGAGCGCTCTGCTGGCGCAAGAGGATCCTCACATCAACGAGGCGATGCAATCGAGAATCGAGCAGCAGCCACCGATATGGATCACTCGCACCGTCGTCATCATCATCATCGGAGCTTGCTAGAGTTGAATTTTTGAGCTGGTCCATCTTAAACTCCATTCCTGCGATTCTTGAGTTGAAGAGAAGAAGGGGCCAGCAGGTGCTAAGGAGGGCTTCTGTTCGGAGCCACCTGAGACCGTGAAGTCCAGTCTGCACCTTTTTCAGGAACCTAAGTGGAAATTGCAAGAAAATACACCTCAACAGCATGCTCTCAATCCCTACTGCCCCGAAGCCACAAGCCCATTGTAGGCACCTAGAGACATGGAGTATCTTGGTGTCATCTGTCTGCAGGTTTCGACAACTCCGAGGACGGCGTGCAGCTGATGCTCGAGGCCTTCACCTGCTTTCAACAGGATCCGGACATCCAGGCCGGGAAGAGCGGGGGAAGAGCTCCGGGGAGCTTCCTTGTCTTGACTCTCCACCTGGCCAAGCTTTAAACTTTTAGGGTTTAGGGTTTAGGGTTTAGGGCCCGAATGTCATGATGGAAGTAGGGCTTTTTCTGTGCAGGTCTTGGAGTTTGTCTTCATTTACAGTTCTGTGGTTCATTTCCTTTTCTGGAGCTTCTCTCTGCTGAATCCTCCCAGGCTTGATTGTTCATAGCCTAGGGCTTTGGGATTCAAGGATTGGGCTTCAGTCTCGTACTGTCCTCTTAGGCTTGATGTTGAATCTGCAGCCGTTGCTTTCAGACCCGGTAGCCTTCAGCCTGAAACCTCACGATCGCAATCCTCCACCTGCAGCGGCAGCCCCTTTAGGATAAGATACTCTGACATTACGAACCTCCACTAACCCCTTGTCGCAGCTGTTACGACCAGGCTGCGATCCCGTACTTCACCCATAGATATCCGAATCCTGCAGCAAAAGTCTTAGCAGCAGATGGCGGGCGTGCAAGACAGCTCTTTTCGTGATCGTTCTATGTTCAGGTCAACACCGTAGCCATCAACGATCTTCTTTCCCTGGATGCGCAAGCACCGACGGAGGTGGCAGCTGGTTTGCGACGGGGATGTGATACTGCCACGAAGTTGCAGGGCTTTGGGCTTTCGTGGGCTGCTAGAAAGTGGCCTTCAGTCCTACTCATGACGCCTGCCTTTCTCGCCCAAGAACGCTACACACACTTGCTCTCAAGGGTTTAACAGAAGGCTCTGTGACCCTCGGAGCTCAAGGCGCCGGTTCTGATTCAAGTTCTCTTAGAGAGCCAAAGATGCGCGGTTCTTCCTGGGAGTGATGCTCCAAGTTACGCCCCGAAGTCCTTTCAAGTCGTTACAGTAAGGCCCCTCTGTGACGCTGATCGCCCCTTGGTGTGCCTTTAGCGCTGAGACAGGCGAAGAGGAGGCTCATCCAGAAGCCTCTGACCAAACTCGTGATGATCGACCTGCCCCACGGCTTAATAATTGGAATAGGGCTTGGGGATATATTATACTAGACTTAAAATAAAGAACCCCCAAAACCTTTAGGGTTTGGGGTTTAGGGTTTAGGGTGAAAATAAAGAACCCCCAAAACCCTATTCTAATTATTAAGGCCCCTACCTTGAATGCATCGTCGTTGTTGCTACCGATGCACAAAGCCCTGAGTCGCTGGTTTCATGGTCGAAAAAAGCCTCTGCCGCAGAGGCCTTAATAATTAGAATAGGGTTTTGGGGGTTCTTGATTATAGTTAAGTACTTTTAATATATCCCCAAACCCTATTCCAATTCTTAAGGCCCCTATTTTTTTCTGCCATAGAGATGCCTGGGAGCACCTCATTCCTTCGTAGCGGCCGGCGCTGAGCCGCTCAGTGCTGTGACAGTCACCAAGGCTCCGGGCCCTATTTGTGGAATTCAGCAAGGCGCCTTTCCAGGCCCTGAGCGGATCGGGTGTTGGTTGCTTAGGGGGGTTCAGGGTCTTCGAGGGCTCAAGCCTTTGATTCACGAGCGTTTGGAGGATGTTACAAGTATGGGCCAGTATGGGGTTTGGGGTCGTTGGGGTTGAAAGGTCGTTGGGGTGTAAGCCTTTGTAAGGTCCGCGAAGTTAGGCTTGAGGATCTTGGGGTTTAGAGTTTCAGGGGGTAGGGTGGTGCAGCTGTGATCTTTGGTTCCGGATTTTCTTATAAGGGCTTCCGTCGGCTGAAGGTTCGGCGTTTCGGGTTCTTGGGTTCGGGATCTTCTACTAATACCGTGGTGAGCTTGATGTCCACAAGCAGAGCTTGGCGTGTAGGAAGCACCGAGACTGGGGAAGATAAATACCTGAGCTAGACTTGAGCATAAGCTTTACGAAAGGGGTCGAGGTGACCCAGAGCACCCGATGGCGCGATGGCAAGGCCCAGAAATCAATTCCGATCCCATAGCAACCCCCTACATCTTGTTGGATTGAGGGTTTAGTGGCACGATTCCCCAAGTTCCTCGTGTCCCAAGCCTTCCCTGTGTCTTCAGGCCGATGTCAGGAATCTGAAACTCTGTGCCGACGTCATCGCAGGTAGGGCCACTCTGCGGCAAATGTTGATGCAAAAGCATGGGCACCGCATAGGCCTTCTGCATGGGACCGGGCTGGCGGAGGATTGGAATTTAGGGTTTGGGCTGGGATCTCTTCGAGGGATTGGGTCGGGGGTCCTGCCTTCAAGGCTCTGGATAAAACGAAGTACCGTGGTCCAACTGAAGACCCGTTGAACTCCCTGAAGCCCTTGCTTACAACCTGTCTTGCGTTTAGTGGCGACGGGGCGGGGAGCAGGGTGGAACCTGGAGGATTGAAGGTTCAGCGTTTCAGGGTTTATGGGTTTAGGGTTTAGGGTGTATGGGTTTAGGATTTAGGGTTTAGGGTTCATGGGTTTAGGGTTTATGGGTTTAGGGTTGATCCTAAACCGAAGCCGTTAGCAATGAACACTCAAGCCTTCCTCGCATGCTGCTGAACCCCTAAACCCTGTATTTGGTCTCGAGGCCACAGACCCCATTGACGAAACAGAGACACAACCTTGGTAAGTAACGCCCCCATCGCCCCACGAGCAGTACGACGTCAGCTTAGGCCTGGAGTGTAATGCATCGGGTTGAGAGTCTATGTCAAGGTCTTCCGTCTTAGGCTCAAACCCTGAGGTCGAGGCTTTTGACCGAAACCCCAAACCCCTCAGCTGAACCCTCAAACCCTACACCAGACATTCTCGAAGATCTCAAGAAAGCCGCTGAGGTGGCACGAAAGGAGACCACGGGAGGCCCGAGTACAAGGGGTCCGTGCTTCCGGGTCTTATCACGGGCGATGGCACATAGGGGCTTCGGGCTTAGGGGTTTACAATTCCTGGTTTGGGTTTGGCTGCAGTGGTCTTGCTTACGAAAAGGATGCGTTGTCGAAGCATTGTAGAAGTTGAGTTGGCCAAGCCATCTCGGCAAGGGAAACCGGCAGAACCGAAGACCAAGAGAAAACGCCCAACACCCCTTCAACCTCCAACCCGACAACCCTGAAGCCTCATCTCTCCAGGTGACAGCGCGGATCCGGATGGTTATTTTCACCTCAAGGGCCGTGCCTCGACAGGGAAGCTATGCAGAGCTCAGCCCTTAACGGTTGTCCCGAAGCCGGCGACCCCCGAAGTTTGAAGCCCTGTACAATCAAAGACACAGCCCGAGATCCGAAACTCGAAGCCCCTTTTGCATTGCCGCGACAGGGTTGAAGAGGAGCCCCTCAGAGCCCAATAGAGAGGTCTGAGTACCTTGCAAAAATTCAAGCTTCTATTCCAAAGAGAATCTGGGGCCTCGATTGAAATTGTGTGCTTTGGAGGTTCTTGCGCTTTTGGGGCTCAGCGAGTGATGCGAAGTCTTGGCAGATTCCGGCAGATTCCTAGTTAAAGGGTTGTGAGCATGGCCGTGAATGGCCAGTGGCCGAGTAGACCCTAAACCCTAAACCCTAAACCCCTAAACCCTACCCTAGACCCCTAAACCCCTAAACCCTAAACCCTAAACCCCTAAACTCCTAAACCCCTAAACCCCAAGCCCCCAGAGAGCCAAGCCTTGAAGGCCCAGAACCCAGAAGCAAGGACCCCGGCTAAGCCGCCAGGTTTAGGGTTTAGGGTTTAGGGTTTAGGGTTTAGGGTTTAGGGTCTAAGCCAAGGTCGCGAGCTCGCGCTCATCGTGCAACAAATGATACTTCCAGAGTACGGGTTCGAACCCACGAAGGTGGGAATTTCGGGAATTGATAGAGTGTACTACTCGGCTACTTCGGTCGAGGTGCTGCTTACGAAAGTACTTGCTAATGTGCCTATATTTACTTGTGCCATGAAGAACTTAGCCGAGTACCCCGATTCGGCCAACGGCTCGTCCGCTAGTCATCTAGTTAGATAGCGGGTTTGCTCAGTCAAGGCAGCTGGCGAGACAGCCAAGTATGTAGTGTGGGACACCCGGGTAGACTGGTTGATGACATGGCTACAGAACCACTTTGCTTGCTCCGGCTCCCTTCTTCCGGAGGAGGGGGTGCTGGACATGATCCGCTGCAGCCTCGGTGATCAAGATCAGTGTTGGGCTTGGGATGCATTGTGTCGGGATCAGGATGTAGTTGGATTCTGCGGACTGACGCCGTTCTCGAGATCTTTGCTTTTGGCACGCCGCCAGCGGGCCTAGGAGCGGCTTGGGGAGTTGAACGCATGGAGCGAACTCCCTTCGCAGCGACCGAAAGAAGGTTCAGGGTTCAGGGTTCCGGTCAGTGACAGCATCATGCCCAAACGGGGATCACCGGGTTAGAGCGGCCCCTAATTACTATCGGTGTCTAAACATGACTGCACTGCTTCTTGATTGAAGTTTAGATATACAAATACATGTACATGGATATATATATATATGTATGTTATAGATATACATATACATACATACATTTGGCTTTGGCAGCGTTCAGAGGTTGGTTCGCAGCTTAATTTAGGCGTGCATAGGACAGCCATCGCAGCCACTAAAGGGCTTGGCCAAATAGGAACCCCAGAATGCGGGCGGAGCTAGGACCTGTACGCTACCACCCGTCGTGATAGTGTCCCAAGCTCGCCTAATGCTCTGGGGGAGGAGGGCTTCAGGAAACGCTTTCACGGCTGTGTTGCGAAGAAAGTCTCTGCCAGGGCTCCACACAGCTTCCAAGGGCCCAACCAGAATGACAACCGTCTCCGTCTTGGTCTCGTGAGGGGACTGGAGGGACGCCCGCAAGCGTCCCCAGTCAATGGCATCCTCCTTTTCAAGAAAGTCGTCGTAAGAAAACTGGTCCTGGACGATCGTCTGTGCCCCCGGCGTGGAGGGGCATGTTCCAGACATGAAGGCCTGCAGGGCGGTCTGCATGGCCTCAAGCTGCGGCCGGGACCAGTAGTCATTGAGGTCCGCCGCGACAATCTCCCGCGCCTCCTGGTAGACAGCGCCCGCGATGTCCTGCTCCTCCTGCTCGTACAGGGGGAAGGAACCCAGGATCTTGCCGATGCTGTCCTGGACTGTCGCCGTTTGGGAGGGGAGATCCGAGACGAGGAGTGCATCGGACAGTGCCCGGTGCGCCTCTTTTTGGGTTCGGTCCCAAACCTCGCCTCCGGTAGCTGACACGCCCTCCTGGACTTGCTTCGGGAGTGCGGGCGTGTACTGGTCCACATCTCTCTGCTTCCATCGCTTGCTGCCCATTCCTGGGCATGGCTCTTCGTTGTGGTGCCCAAGCCCCCGTAGGGTCGCCACACAAGTAGCAGAGTCACGTAGGTGGATCATCAGCCGGTTGGCTGACCAGTATTGACGCCCACAAGCTCGGCAGACTGTCCCTTCCACATTTAGGCGGTGCGAGGCTCTTCGGGCATGCACCTTGAAGAAATGGACCGCTAGCTGTGCCTTCTTGGCAAAACTTTTGCCGCATGGACGGCAGCACCATGTCCGCTGTACCGGTATCCCAGGGAGCGCCCGGGCTGCTTGTCGGTATAGGGCCCACAGGCCCAGTTTGCGAAGGTGGTAGCTGCAGTAGGTGGCGAAATCCGTGTCCAGCTGCTTCTGGACTCGGGCCTTTACTCGCTTGGTAGAACAGCGCAGTAGTCGCCACCATTCCGGCCAGCTGGCCCCGCACGGTTGTGGCCAATGGGCCGAGTCGCCGGCATAAAGCCATTCCAGGTCGCGCTGCATCTGCTCGCACCACTCCATCTCCCATTGGAGCATCGCCCACAGTCCAGGGGGTCCCGTGAGGGCCATAGAGCACAGAAGAGCGAAACGCATCTTGCGAGCAACCATGTGCAGGGGAAGGCTGTCCGTGAGGGCATAAACCAGCTGAGAGGGCAATTTGAAAAGAGCCTCTCCTTGGAAATGCGTGGCCAGGAGCCGTCGTAGCAGCCGTGCATAACCTAGTTCAAGCTTTGTCCACGCCGGGCCGCGGATCAGCCAGAGCGAAAGGTTGAAGAGGGTGGGTCGTACTGCCGCCTCGAAGACAGCGACCCGCGCAGGGAGGTCGATCGTCTTGTTGCCATAGACAAGGACCTTGCCCTCGTCCAAGGATGTCGAGGCAATGGCCAGACGCCGCCTCGTCTCCGGGAGCATAGATCCTCGATGATCCAGGACGCCTCCGAGATGGGTGTAGACCGGGGCGGTGGCGATGTTGACCTGGAGGTCGCTGAGGTAGATCTGAGGCTTGCCCTCCGGAAAGAAGAGCCGCTTTGCTGCGGCCGATCCCTTTCCTGCAATCCTGAGCAATAGTGAGGTTTTGCCCGGTTTCAGGTTTGGCACCATGCCCAACTCATAGCACCGCGAAAGTACCAGCGAGGAAAGGCGCGATGCCTTCTTCAAAAGCGCAACCGGGCTGGCATCCTTCAGGGGGAAAGCAGAGTCGTCTGCCCAGGTGCTGTCATTGATCCAGACGCGCTCGTGACCATCACCTTGAGCAAAAATGCCGAGGGTGGGGTCAAAGCAGTGAGGGTCGATCAGCTCTTCAGCCTGGGCCATTTCAGCGACCCGATAGAGCACGCGGCTGTAGACGGCTGCAAAAATGCAGTCTGCCCAGCTCTCTCCCGGTCGCGATCCAGCCCGCGTCATGCAGATGCGAGACCCGTCGCCGTAGTGCGATGTAAACCATGCCCTGTGGTGGTAGTCCTTCGCCACATGCCGCACCACAGGGTCCATGTCGAAGTCCGCCATGACGCCGCCCTCGGCAATTGCCTTGTAGAGCTCGTGGATATCCTCCGGGTCCAGCTGGAAACGACGAAAGACATGGGCGATGGTTTGGTCGTCATAGATCTTTCCCACGGCCATCTCTCTGGCTACCATATAATATGCAGCCTTGGTGTCCAAGAAGAGGATGGCGGCGGATTGCTTCCGCCGGATTGTACCCCGTAGGTGGGACAAGATGGCCATCGCGGGGTATGTGACCGGAGCGCCCCGTCGAGAGCCCATATGAAGGGGATGTAGTGAGTTCTCGATGTTGTGGGCGACCTTGTCCTTCATCAGGCGGTGGAGGGATTTTCCCAGAAGGCTGCTAATAAACAACGACCGGTGGGACTCGGCCATAGCAGGGTTTCCAGCCCTCTTCCACGCAGAGTAAAGGACCCCTCCCCTCCATTGGAGCGGCTGCTGGAGAGTCAGGACTGTTTTGGTCATCAAAGCGTGGCTGTTGCGAGCCAGAGCGGCAGGGGCGGCTTTCAGGAGTTCGCCAGGGATCCCATCCAAGCCGGCTGATTTGTTGAAGGGGGCCCGGCGGTAGGCCTTTTCCAGCTCGTCGATGGAAGGGAGGCTGCCCATCGTCCATTCCAACTCTCGATCTTGCACGATCTTCGGATGCGGCGTCTCGGCAAGGGTGTGGACGGGGAGGATTTGGCCGCATTCTTGGGCTCCGAAGTGCTTTAGCCAAACCATGTCCCGGTCCTCCTTGCTCGCGGTCGGCTGGTTCTGATCGTCAAGCAGGAGGGGGAGCTGCTTCTGGTACGGCTTGTGGGCTGACTTGCCTACCCCGGCTCGACGAAGGTTGCCCAGCATGTGGCTGGCGCCTGTAGTTGGCTCCGGGCCCTTGGCCATTTGCTTCAGGAAGTCGCTCTTGGCCCGCCTGATACCGATCTTAATGCGGTAGGTGGCGAACTTTATAGCCAGGGCGACAATCCCGTGCAGGAGGATCTCCTTCTTGGATGCAGGGGGCACGGCCAGGGGGTGCCCGCTTCGCCAGGCTTCGTAGGCTGCTTTGATGGGCCGATGCCAGATTTGCCTCCGTGGTGTCGCCTCCTTCTTCAGGCGCAGTTTCTGTAGCCGGATATCCCAGATGAATTCCGGGATGTAGCTTGCTTGCGGGGCATTTGCCGGCTTTTGGAAATGCCGGTGGAGGATCCCGTTGAGGTGATCCTGCAAGTGCTGGCAGTGGGCGTCCGGGTGTACATTCCAGGGTGGGGGAATGTATTTCCCCATCTCGAGGGCAACCAGTTGTTTGCCAGCAGAACTGCGGAGCTTGACGGTGTCATAGCGGGGCCTCCATAGTCTTGCTCGGCGGCCTTGGTGCTTCCATGTGCCCACCATATGCACCACAGACAGCGAGTGGTCGTCGTTGGCGTTCATGGTGTCGAAGGTCTTGGAGATCTCGCTGCGAACTTGATGGCATTGTGCACGGCCACCGATGAGGATGTAGTCGATCCTGTGCTCACCTCCCATAGGGTGACGGTATGTGGCCGTTGGTCCCTTGTGTAGGGAGTGGTACGTGGCCGGGGCCCATAGAGCAAACTCTTGGCAGATGCTTGCTGCTTTGGCTCCAATGAGGTCCGGGTGCCCATCTGACAGGTCACCAGTAACCCGCCCGAAAGGACACGGGAGCCGACCATTCAGGTCCGTCCCCACGATGATCATGTGCGCTGGGAGGACGGCTCGTAACTGGGTCTCCAGGTTCGCCAGGAAGTCCTCAGCCTCCTGTTGTTTTGCCGCGTGTGGGCAATGAGCCGATACCAAGACGACCTTTGCCCCGCCAAGGAGGACTGTGGCAATCAAGAGTCGCTCGTCTTCATAGGGGATGCTGATGTCTGCCAAGTCAGCTTTGAGCGGCTTTCCATCAATAGAGAGAATGCCGTAGTTTTTGCTGATCCAGACGCCAACTCCCCAGTGCTTGTTCCCGGCAGTGTGTAAGCGCGTATAGCGCTTAGAAAGACAAACACTGGAGTCGCCCTTGTGCTCCTGGACGAAGAAAATGTTGCATTTGAGCTCGTCCAATTGCTCCTCATAGTATCTGTGCTTCCCAGCCATCCCTTGAGAGTTCAAGGTAGCCACAGTTAAAGAGAAGTCATGTGGGTCCTTCCCTTGGCCCCAGGCTTCCGAGACCGTCGGGACGATCTGGGAGGGCTTGAGGGGGGTGGTTTCTTCAAAGGGCGGATTTTCTGGCGACCATCGCAGCTCATCATCATAGATGGGGAGGGTTCCATGGATGGTTGCATGATGGGCCGCTGCAAGCCAAGAGATGTCGGTGTTCAGGAAGGTCTCGATGGCATTGTGTGGGGGCTGCCAGATGGCCCCCCTTTTTGCAGCCGCAGCCTTGGCAATCTCATCCGCCAACTCATTCCATGGGTCCCCGTTGTGTGCAGCGACGTGCGACATTTGTATACCACCAGCAATGCAGTCTCGGGAGAAGAGCTCGAGGTGGTGGATTTTCTCACTGAAAAAGTCAGGGTGTTGCCAATCACCCGTCGCCGCTTTGCCCGCCGCCGTGCAGTCGTAGTGGATGTGGCATGTCGCGTGCTGCAGGACATGGGAAAACTGCAGTGCCCATAGCAGTGCAGCCGCTAGGGCTACCTGTTCCCCTCGGAGGGCGGCCGGTTCCTGCAGAGGCCAAACATTATCAGGGTTTCCCAGCAGCTGACCTCCGAAGAGGCCAAGTAAAGCATAGGCGACCCCGACTTTGAGCAGGACAACAACCCCGTAGCCGCTGCGATCTTGTCTGCCGTTGGCCGAACCATCAGTGTACACGTGGAACTCGATGCTATCAGTCGGGCCTGCACGTCGAAAGAGGTCCGGCCAGTTGGGGGCGTCCTGCATGGCGTCCTTGGTGGCCTGCTTGACGTTGACTCCGTCAAAAGACCATGACAACCATCCCGTGCCCCATGGTGTTGTCAGGGCCTGTAGGTCATAGCCTTTGTGTGGTAGGCGGAGGCATTGTTCTGTGAGGTCGAAATGAGGGACATAGGGCGCGACATGGTCGGCTAGCTTCAGGGCACCTCGCTGCACGTCCGAGGGTGACTCATCTTGGCTGCCATTTTGCGGCCCTTCTCTCCTAGGAGAGCGACTTCGGTCTTCATTGACCGGTCGAGGGGGAGGCGGTCCAAAAGGGCCCTCTCCTGTAGGTGGTGAGGGGTCCGAGAAGTCACTGGAGTGGGGCATGGGGTGATCACTATCATCATCGTCACCTCCATTGTGATCCTCGTCACCGTCACTTTCTGGCTCAAAGCTAGACGATGTAGGTGTGACCTCATCGGTTCTTCTCAGGAGGAGCTCGATGACCTCCCCGTCTAGGACACGGATCCTCACGCCATCCCGGTGTCGTCGGCCTCCTTTGATGACCAGGGAGTATCCTTCAATATAAGGGATTTGGAGGCCTTCGGCGTAAGCTCCCGGGTCAAGGAAATCTCCAGGTATTGCCACCCATTGCGGCCAGAGCCCAATGGGTCTGGTGTCAAGAAAAACGACCTTCGTGGTGTCCCTGGGATAGCGTCCAGCACCAAGCACCGCAATAATGGAGTGGACTCTCTTTCCCCTGGCATACATACGCATAGGTCTTTGGGTGGGGGCTCTGATCCACACGTCCCCTTGGCTGGCCCCAAAGGCGTGGTCCGCCATTCGTTGCGGGTCCGGTGGGACAGTTCTGTCCAGGAGGTGGAGGAAAGTCTGCTCTTCTCCTTGGAACTCGATGTGGCGGCCTGGTAGGTGCTGCGGGTGGTCGACATCGGGCCTCCATCTGGTTGTGTCCGTCAGCCTCGTGTCGAGCTCCGTGGCCCACTCTGGCACTTCGCCTCGCCGGAGGAAGAGAATAAGGCCGCCCTGGCTTGGTGGCTCCCTTTGCTCGTCGTTCATCGGCTGCAGCGAACCGAAAAGAAAGATCGAGATGCCGGCATCAGGTCCCATCCCAATCTTCTGAAGCAGACCTCGTCTTGTAAGGGGCCCCTCAAAGTAGGCCGCGAAGATGCCCGCTCCAACATGTCTTCCATCCAGCACAACTGCTGTCTTGCCGGACATCCTGATCCATGTCGGGATCATCAACACTGATCCAAAGGCTTCATCAGGTTGAGGTGTTACGGCAACCGGGTGGTCGAGGATGTCAGTTGGCATATCAATCGCTGAGTTCTGGATGGCCTCGAAGACACGGTTGATGGTGAGGGGGAAGCTCATCGCCACATCCAATGACATGGACTCGTAGTACGGCGCACAGATCCAGAAGGAGATGTGGGTTGTGGCTGGCTCCTCCCTGTTGATCCAGTGCTCATGCGGCTGTAGCTGTGGAGGCGGCGGAGGAGGGGCTTCTGGTATGGGCACAGTGAAGTCCGGTGGCGGCGCCACTTCACTGTTGTGCTCCAGTGGCATGGTCGCCACATGTCTTTCAAAAGCAGCTGCAAGCTGCTCCCTCATAGTCGCCTGCCCACTCATCCACAGCTCCAGGTCTGTGGGGAGCGGGATGCCCATTGGGCTGAGCTTGGGCTTGACCTCATCGCCATATCCGGCATGTGTCCCTTTGATCACGGCCGCGAAGAGGATGATACGTACCCACACCGGTCGGGCCTTGGCGCGGGTGCCGTACGGGTGCCTTTTGTAGCTGTAGCAGGTCAAAAGCAGCAGAAGCACGACGAGCTGAGTCATCGCCAGCGAGAGGGTAGCAATTATCGCTGCCTCTGCGATTTCTACAAGTAGTCGCCATGCTCTTGCCGACATCCACTTCGTGGCCCTCTCGTGCACGTCCATGAGGTCATAGATCCTTGTATGTTCGGTCTCGGGGTCGTGGCCGCCCGTAGGGCCGTGCCCCA